GATGACAATGTCACCAACGCTAGTCTCCAAGAGAACCGACATTTCGATGAGTGTTAGCTAGAACTGGCCAGTGCTGATGATTTTAGATGAAGCTTCTGCTGTTAGTTCCAAAACGCCGCCCATAAACAGCGGTGATGTGCATGGACGCGTCGTGCAAGAGTTTTGACGTTGAGGTGCACGTCGCCGTAGAGCTTCACACAGCAATTTCTCAAACAACTAGCTAATAATCAACAGCGGTTGCAACATCCCAAAGCTGTCGGATGTGGACCCATCTGCCGATATTCTGCCGAGAGGTGGCGGATGGTCTCACGTGATGTCTGGACAAAAGCCAACATTCAACACAAACACCTTAATGAGGAGGTACGCTTTCAAAATCAGGCTATAATATATGAGTAGATTCAATGCGAGTAGAGGAGAGATTAGTACTTGTAAGGGGATTATAGGATTTCGCGCACATATTATAGTCTTGTCACGAATACACCACTATATTAATAGGATGAAATATGCCCTTAATACCAGGCTTCAGAGACAGTAGCGGATTAAATGCTGGCAGAAATCACTGTTTGAAAGGGGACTGCCGGATTTCGCGCAGATGCCACACTCTCAGTTGAATGAATGGTTGGTTCTAAGCTACCATTAACATTCAAAGCCAAGCATTTCTTGGCAAGCGCCTAGCGTGCCGTCTCCAGAATTGTGTTCCACTTCTCCGTTGATGGGCAGTCAAGCCAAAACGGTGTCGTCACATTGATGTCTTGGGCGGTAGCAATCCGTCACAAACTGGGACATATTTTTTTCAAACAAAGTGACCTTTCAATTCCAAAAGTACAGATTTAGTAACCTGCATCGTAGAACACCTTACTAGGACGATGGATGCTCGCAGCAACGCAGCAGCTAATGCTGTCAGAAGCACAGGGTAGATACAGTCTGTGGCAGAATATAATTGCCCACCAAAAAGAAAACACTAGTGATATGCTGCAGTATATTATATTGTCTGGTGGGACGCGATAGCCAGGTACCTGATCTGGTTCAATACTTTTTTGCCTCCCACTGCAGTACAGGAGGAGAAACGCCATGCAAAGAATATCCTCACGACGTTATGTATCGCCATTTTGTGAGGCCTTGGTGAATGCCACTACATCGCTTTTTAACCCAAGAAGCCCTTGACCTCTGTTTCCACTGCCCATAAACGCCGTAATTGCAAACAATAAGATACCATGTAAGGGAAGCGCCAATGCGAGAAGTAGGGTATTAGCAACAATAATCAGGCAGAGAAACGTTCCAGAAGCGATTGCCACCGGCGTCCGGCAGCTTACTCCATGCAGGGAGAGCTCCTGCGTCGGCGACCTGAGCGAAGTTCCTTCTCCGTCTCCATCAATCTGGCTTGCGCCCACATGCGCATCGAGTTGTTGCCGCGCACTGCGTCACAGTTGAGGAGTTCTGTCAATGCACGTTTGATGCTCTCGTTGACGTCAAATAGGCGCTGCTCCTCAGCGGAGATGGCATGTATGGTTTCTTCGTCCAGAATTGTGCCCAGTGACCCGGGGCCAGCAGCATCTCGGCCGGTGGGGGCTCGACTGCGACCAAGTTTACATTCACCGCTCCCCGAGTATCGCCTTGGTGATGTAGATATCGACGATGTGCTAGATGATCGAGTTGAGACGCTTACGCCTGTCACTGACGCCTTCCGCGGCCGAATCTGTTGGAGGTGGCTGGAGAGCTCTTCATGCTGCTCCTGCAGAAGCATATACTTCTGCAGAGCAAAGTTGTAGGTTTGTGTCTTGGTCGAGGTCATTTTGACTGTGCGGAGAGAAAGCGTGGGGGTCGGTATGAGTGCTTCTTTTGCCTTGAAGGAGCGCAGCGGGAGCCAAGAGGATTTATTTGAATCAGACACGGAGCTCTTTATAACAAGCCCATTGAAGGTCGTCGGTCTTGGGCAACAGGCAGACGGCACCATGAGCGGGGGGTGTTCGTTGCGACGATGCAGGATGCGAGCTGCAGAAAAGGAGTCCACTCTGTTCAGCCGTTGCCAGCTCCAGGTGTAATAGCTGTCACCGTGCAGACTTCAAAATGTTGCTGGGGGCGATTGGCCAGGTGGGGGGGGGGGGGGGCATTTTAATAACCT